CGCTTGCAAAGATATTTGCGTTCTCTCGCAAAACCTGTTGAGTTCGGACAAACACTTCCTGTTTACTTTACAGGTTGCTGTGGTCCATAGCTCCATACGTTCACAGTGGAGCGGTTCATAGAGTTTTATTTTGAACTTGGACTCAAGTATAAAGAAATACAGTCGGTAGTTCAAGGCACGGTTTTGGGACATTCTGAAACGCTTAATGTGGCTTCATGTACTAAAACAGTGACAGTAGAGGACCAAATCCAGTATTAATAGAGCATACTATTAACAGACAAGCAGAATATGAGCCAGAATATGAACTTAACGTGCTAAATTGCATGCTCCCCCATAGAAAGATGCTTAATTAATACTAAGACAGTGGTATAAAAAGGCAGAATTTGGTAAGCTATACAGTTTAGTAATACGGGAAAGCAGACGAGCCCAGAATATGAAGAGAAAGTGCTAATTTGCACGTTAAGCGTTTTCCTCCCATAGAAGCCATTCTAAAGAAAACACTTAATGTGGCTTAATGAAGACGGTGATGAAAAAGACCAAATAGGCTATGCTACAGACATTATATACAGTATATATGTATATAGGCTACTGTGAACATGCAGGCAGATGAGCCCAGAATATGAGCTGAACTACACGTTAAACGTTTTCTCCCCCATAGAAAAGCCACGTTAAGAGTTTTCTTTATAATGTTTTATTTTTTCTACGGGGAAGAAAACATGTGAAACCTTGCGCATTGCGTTCATATTCTGAGCTCATCTGCTTTCCTGTGCGTAATATATTTTATTAATAAACTGTGTACCACATTTGGTCTTTTTATATCACTCTCTTTGTCCATTAGCCTTTTTAGTGTTTTCTCCATTCGTCCATAACTGTTTTCTATGGGGGAGAAAAAGCTTAACGTGCATTAACGTGTTGCATTCATATTCTCGGCTATTCTGCTTGTCTGTAAATAGTATTTTACTAATAGTAAAATTATTATTAAGGTTATTAATATTAATAGTGTTAGTAGTATTAATAGTAATTATTAATACTGAATTTGGTCCTCCAATGTCACCGTTTTACACATTAAGCGCTGTAGCAACAGTGGAGTCATTCAGGTTCCTGGGCACCACCATCTCTCAGGATCTGAAGTGGGACACTCACATTGACTCCTTTGTTAAAAAGGCCCAGCAGAGGTTGTACTTCCTTCGCCAGCTGAGGAAGTTCCACCTGTCACAGGAGCTGCTGAAACAGTTCTACTCCGCCATCATTGAATCCATCCTCTTCACTTCTATAACTGTCTGGTTCAGCTCAGCTACCAAATCTGACCGGATAGTCCGGACTGCTGGGTAAATTATTTGTGACAAAACATCCCCACTCTCCAAGAACTGCACTCAGAGTGAGCAAAAGAGCTGGCAAAATCACTCTGGACCCCTCACACCCAGCACACTTCATCTTTGAACTGTTGCCGTCTGGCCGGCACTACAGAACACTGAGTACCAGAACGGCCAGACATAGGAGAAGTTTCTTCCCTCAGGCCATCCATCTCATGAACAGTTAAATGTTCTCCCCACTGTGCAATAAAATATGTGCAATCAAGCCTCTACGGACACCTTGGCAATTGAATCGCAATTGGCTAGTAAATTTTTTTAGTTTACTCGCCAGACTGATATGTATATATATATATATATATATATTAGTGCTGTCAATCGCGATTAATTGCATCCTAAATAAAAAAAAAGTTGTGGATGACAAAAAAAAAAAAAAAAAAACAAAAAAAAAAA